GAAATTATTAATGGAATAATTTATATTAATATAATATACTAATATATTATATTATTAATGTACATTAGTCGACATCCTGTCGACATAATAGGAAAAACCGTATTTTTTTTGGTTATTTGGGCTGATTTGGTCGACATTTCCGAAATATAGGAAATGTTGACCGAAATAATGTATTTTTATATTACCATCCATTTTCGTGTTGGTGAGCCTCGACATTGACATATGTCGGGCGACATTAGCGACATTTGGCGACATTTGAAACCATGCTTAGTTGGGGATTGGGTTTAGACCTCCCTGGTGAGGAGGGCATCCCATAAGCTATCTCCTAGGTATTTCGGCCCATTTCAGGTGGCAGAACGAATTGGGCTTGTGGCCTACTGTCTCCACTTGCTTGCTGGGTGCCAGCTGCACCCCGTCTTCCATGTCAGCCTTCTGAAGCCATGCCTGGCTTCCACCGGTGTCACCAGTCCCAGCCATCCACAATTCACAGAGGAAGGGAAAGTGGTGTTTGAGCCTCTACTGATCAGAGATCTACGTTGGGTTCGCAAGGACAGTAAGGTCTTTAAACAGGCCCTAGTTGTGTGGCGTGGACTACCTCAGGAAGATGCCACGTGGGAGGACTATGACCAACTGCAACACCAGTTCCCTACACTCGACCTTGAGGACAAGGTCATTCTTGAAGGAGACAGGAATGTTAGGCCCAGTGGAGGAGAAGACCCGAGCGGTGCAGGTCAGGCCCATCAGGCCCAGGCGCCAGTCCAGAATAAACCCAGGATCACGCGAGTGACACCATCCATCACTCTCGTATACAACCGACGTCCATGTTTTGAAAATTAATCATGTACCGAGAACATGCACTGAGAATGTCAGAATCGGTTATAGTGGCAGTTGGCCATTTGTTATATAGGCCATTCGCGAATGCATGAAAGCAAGAAGAATCATTGAGATTTTCCCTCTCTCTCTCTCTCTCTCTCTCTGTTCTCTCTCTCTCTCGTCTTCTTCCTCTCATCCATTTCAGGAGGGTGAGCTCCCTCGAAACAGCTCACCAGTGAACATACCATAGCAGGGCTTACCAAATGACTTGTGGAGGAATTGGTTAATAATAGCTAACACTTCAACAAACAAGAATAGAATTTTATCAGAATGGGTTCCTCCTTTGGAAGACATCATCAAGTTGGATTCTGATGGAAGCAGCCAAGGTAACCCCGGGCCTTCAGGTATAGGGAGTGTCCTGAGAAATAAGGACAGCAACATAATCTCCTTATTCTCAGGGCTGGTGGGAGTGGGGTACTCCACAAGGGCAGAAATCCTTGCTGCAGTACAAGGAATTCAGATTGCTAACCAACTTGGGGTGGAGCATCTCCTAGTTGAAGGGGACTCTCAGGAGGTAACGGGGTGGCTTCTAAACCCGGATACTACCATTTGGGGCTACAAAGATCTCATCAAAAAAGTAAAGTGGTTAACCAGCAATATGAGAGTTGAGGTAAAATGGGTTAGCAGGTCTGCTAATTCTATGGCTGATTCTTTAGCCAAACAGGGGGTTTCCAGGGAAGATCTTTTTTGTGCTACTTTGTAAGTTATTAGTAATCTGGAAACTTGTACTTAACTAGCCTGGAGAGGTTGCCACTCGTGCCTCTCCTTGGGGATTTTGTACTATTGTCTATTGCTGATTAATAAATTTATTTCAATTATCAAAAAAAAAAGAGAAAATTCCTACTCCTTCAACAGCTACCAAAAATAACCATTGAGAAGAAGAAAGAATCCATTCTCTCTTCTTGGGGGCCATAGAGTCAGATTCCTGCAACTCTTTTAACAAGTGCAAGGTGAGCTGATTACAGAAAAAAAAGGAGAAAAAAATGGCTGAAAAGAGGAGAGAAGCTTAAAAGTGAAACTGGATGAGTACAAAAATAACTAGAATTAAGCTGACGAAAAAAGACTAGAATTAAACAATCAATAGTGCATAGTCAAATCTGAAATAGGAAAAAAAAGAGGATAAACTAAAATTTGGACCTGTGATATCAGGTTAGCAGGACCAATCAATTTCTTCTGACTTCTGAGTCTTCTGACACAACCCAGTAATAGAAATTGGGTGGAAGAACAATGCCAAACAGAGAAGACCAGGTTAATGAAAGATGACAAGAGCAAAAACAACTACAGTAGAGTGAAGAATGGACGATTAATGTAACTAACAGATCTGAAGGCTTTACCTCTCTGAAATGGGAGAGATGCTTTATATTAAGACTACAAAACTTGACTTTGCCTTGTCCTAACTATATGGGGTTAGCTGCATTAATTCTGTTCTACCATTCCACTCTGTTCAGTGCCCATCTCCATTGTTAAATTATGTGCCCTTAAATCATTTCTCACTACTTCAATGACCTTGCCCTTCTTCTAGACCCTTCAACTTGCAATAGATCACTTCTCAGCCTTTTACAAGATTTGATGTTTATTGTCCCCTTACTGAAAAGTTCCCAGGACTAAGAACTTTTGACTCTTTTATGCAGGTTAGCGAGGATCCCCTTACGGTTAAAGTTGATCATCTTAAGGTGTGCTATCCCTGTCTCAAAATTTTCTCTTTATTTGGCATAAGAACTTAGATATTTTTTTTTGGAGTTCCTTATGAGTTGTTCAAAAGATTTCTCATTTGCATATCTACTTCTCACATCAGGTTGTTATCTCTGTTGCAGGATAAACCTTATAATAAGGATGATGATGTTATTAAAGCCACATCTTTTGAAGTTATAGCAACCCTAAGGGATGTTCTTAAGACAAGTTCCTTATGGAGGGATCATGTCCAGACATATACCCAGGTTTGTCCCTATTTTTATGTATTTTGGTTTTTAGTTAAACTCTTTGTAAATGTTGCATGCATTTGAATTTTGTTACCTAGTAGGATTCATTACCATTTTGCTCTCGTATACTAGGTTGGGCTCTGGAGGCTTTTGAATTTACTGAATCTGTAGATGTGCATATCTCATATTTCTAATAGTAGAAATTACCCTCATTGATCACTTGTCTGCTTCACTTGGGATTCTATTCCTTGCATTCATTTGCTTCTCATCCTCCTACTCTAATGGAACTGTTGAATTCTATTGGATGTGAACATCAATTCATTGTTGAATTCTATCTGTTTAATAATTCTACTGCCAGTTAAATGATGGAAGAAGAAGAAAGAAGAAAGGGAAAAGGAAGAAAGATGAGGGAGGAAAGAAATTAGGGAAAGATTGGGTAAGTCATGCCAACATATTGTTCTTTATTTAATTAAGTCATAGGGATGATTTAAATTCTCAAAGAACCATTCAACCTAAAAGCTTAAGCTATTAGGTGAGGTCCTTGAATATGTTGATATTCTCTAACACGCCCCCTTACACGAAAGCCTATTGGACTTGAAGCGTGAACAAACACAGGCCCACCCATACCTTGTGTTGAAACTTATTTAATTATAATGGGGGTAACGGGGATCGAACACTAGACCACTTGGTCAAAATGGCTCTGATACCATCTCAAAGAACCATTCCACCTAAAAGCTTAAGCTATTAGGTGAGGTCCTTGAATATGTTGATATTCTCTAACATAAATAAATACTCTAAATATTACTTTTAATGAAAGTAAATAAACATAAACCTTCTGAACTGAATTGATCTAATTTCCTTGCAACTCAATAAAAATTCATATGAAAGGTTAGCTGGTTAGGTGTATAAGGTGATAATCCAAGGAAGTAAATAAATGGTTATGATGCCTAGTTTTTCAGCATTAATCTTAACGAAGACAAATTAACACAAATATACTGAACTGAACAAACCAAATTATCCTTGCAAGTAAATAATAAATTATATCAATTATTAGGTTTATGAAGTGGTGAGGTTCCCCAAGGTATTATTATCAAGGTGTCATCATGAGATTCTAAAGTGGTGCTGGGCTGGCTTAGAAATGATAACCTGGTTACATGGCATTTCTGAACAATTATGAGGGAAGTAAGAGCTTGGGGAAAGGACATTATCAAGGGATTCCAGGGGGTGCCTAGAGCTGCTAACAAAATTGTAGGCACCTTAGCAAAGCAGGGGGTGAACAGATGGCTGCTCTTTTGGGGGGGGGGGGTACAAAGGGCTTTTTAATGTAAATGTAAACAGTTAAAGAAAGTTTTTTTCCCCCTGCTTTGGGGTGCTGGGCACTGTTTTGTATATACCCATTCTTTTTCTCACAACAATAAAATTCAACATGCTATCCATAAAAAAAAAGTTTTCCAAGGTATTAAACTAATGCTTATTATTTCTCACTTGTCAAGTAGGAAGAGTCATCCTTGTAAAGGAACTTCTGCCGGTATATTAGACTTCTTTTGATTGTTATGTACTTGAAATCTTGGCATCAGTTGTTGATACAATTGGAAAAAAAAAAGATTGACTTCATAAGAAATCTTTTTTTTTTAATAATTGGGAGGGGTGGATTTCAATTGATGAAATGGGAGTTAGTGCACAAACACAACAAGTTAGGAGGTTTAGGTTTTAGAAGAACTGGAGTAAATGAAGTATGAACAAAGCTCTATTGGGAGATTTCTTTGGAGATATTAGAAAGAAAAAAGAGGCCTAATGAAAAAGGGTTGTCGCATGCAAGTATTGAATTGTTTGCTTTAAGAGGTTTCTGTAATGATTCATGGAGAGTGGGAGAGAGAGAGAGAGAGAAAGAGAAGGAAAAAGAGAGGTACGATTGAGAGAAAAAAGATGCTACTGGCTGTCGCCAGTTTTCTATTTATATTAACTCAATAAAAGAATATAAATTACAAGTATGCCCCTGGAGGCACACCCTAGAACCAAAATAATAAGAAAAAAAGACAAGTAACAGACTGACTGTACCCTAAGAAGTCAGCCTACTAACAACAGCTATAAAGTAACAATTAAATAAGCCTTGCAACACTCCCCCTCAAGTTGGGCTGAATATGTCTATCATGCCCTGCTTGTCACATAACTCATTGTGCCGCGAGTATGGAAGCCTCTTTGTGAGGACATCARCAAGTTGTTCCTTGGAGTTGACATAAGGGATKYAAATTTCYCTTTTTTCCAATTTTTCCCTTATGAAGTGTTTGTCCACCTCAATGTGCTTGGTCCTCTCATGTAGGATAGGGTTGCTGGCAATGTTTATTGCAACCTTGTTGTCACAGTAGAGGGACATAGGACTATGAACAAGAATTCCAAGCTCCATGTGCCATAGCTCTATATTCAGCTTCAGCGCTTGACCTTGCTACCACACTTTGTTTCTTGCTTTTCCAGGTCACCAGATTTTCTCCCACAAATGTGCAATACCCACTAGTGGACTTTCTGTCATCCACAACTCTTGCCCAATCAGCATCTGTAAAGACTTCCACCTTTAGGTGATTGTGTTTACTGAATGGTAGGCCTGTTCTGGGATATTTCTTCAAGTATCTAAGAACTCTCTCTGCTGCCTCCATGTGTGGATTCTTAGGAGGGTGCATGAATTGGCTTAGGACCCCAACGGAATAGGCAATGTCTGGACGGGTCATGGACAAATAAATTAGCTTTCCCACTAACCTTTGGAACTGTTTCACATCTTTCAGAGGTTCACCAACACAGTCACCTAACTTGTGGTCCGCATCCATAGGAGTATCTGCCGGTTTTGCACCTAATTTGCCTGTATCCTGTAATAGATCAAGGGTGTATTTCCTTTGAGAGACAAAGATACCCTTCTGAGCGGGCAACTTCAATCCCAAGGAAATACTTCAGGAGGCGTAGATCTTTCACTTGAAATTTAGATGCAAGGAATTGTTTCAAGTTCTGTATCTCTGAGTTCCAACTCCCTGTAATGATGATATCATCCACATACACTATCAATACAACAACCTGTTCCTGACATCTCTTCACAAAGAGTGTATGATCAGATTGACATTGTTTGAAGCCCATCTGTTGAACTGCCATGTGAAACTTACTGAACCAGGCTTTGGGAGACTGTTTTAAGCCATAGAGAGACCTTCGCAGCTTGCACACCTTATTTTCACTTCCTTTGGCACAAAATCCAGGGGGTTGAACCATGTATACTTCCTCCTCTAAGTCACCATTCAGAAAATAATTCTTTATGTCTAGTTGATGCAATTCCCAATCAAGATTAGTAGCTAAGGACAGGAGAACCCTAATTGAATTCATCTTAGCTACTGGAGCAAAAGTCTCATCATAGTCAACCCCGTATACTTGTGTGTACCCTTTGGCTACTAATCTTGCTTTGTACCTTTCAACTGTTCCGTCTGCCTTGTGCTTAACCGTGAACACCCATTTACACCCCACGGGGTCTTTCCCCTTTGGAAGATCCACCAATTCCCAAGTTTGATTTTTGTGAAGAGCGTTAATCTCCTCCTTCATGGCATCTGTCCTTTCAGGGCATTTTAAGGCTTCTGCAACATTTTTGGGAACAGGGATACAATCAACGGCCGATAGGAAGGCTTGGTATGAGGGGGAATGTGATCATAGGAGACAAAATGGGTAATGGGGTGTTTGGTAGTGCATGACCTGACTCCCTTTCGTTGGGCAATAGGAATGTCAAGGTCATCCACAGTAGGAGTAGGGTTAGGGGGTGGACTTACCTCCTGGGAGTTTAATGGTGTCAGTTGCTCAGTGTTTGGCTGCTCCATATCTCTATCACATCGCTGATCTCTACGACGTGTAAGTTGGAAGACACGGAAGGGAGCAAGGTCCGAAATAGAAGGAAGAGATACCTGAACCTACTTCTCCTCTTCCACACTACTACTCTCCCCCTGAGGAGAAGHAGGGAAGAATGGCTCCGACTCACAGAAGGACACATCCATAGACACAAAAAACTTATGACTAACTGGATCAAAACACCGATACTCTTTTTGAGAGGAGGGATACCCCAGAAAGACACAAGGAATGGACCGAGGGTCTAACTTACCTCGAGATGGAGACAAATCATGTACAAAGGCACGACAACTAAGACTCTCATGGGGATGGAAAATAAAGGAGATTGAGGGTACAATAATTGATGAGGGGCCATGTAGTTCAGCACTTTGGAGGTCATGCGATTGATGACATAAGCAGCTGCGAGTATCGCATCCACCCAAAACCTTTTTGGAACATTCATGTGTAACATCATTCCGCGAGTTACCTCAAGGAGGTGTCTGTTTTCCCTTTCTGCAACACCATTTTGTTGTGGTATTCTAGCGCATGAGCTCCTATGAATAGATCCGTGGGAGGCAAAGAACTCATTGAGCTCCCCATGGAAGTATTCTTTTGCATTATCGAATTGGAAGATCTGTATTTCAACATGGAATTGCGTAAATACCACCCTCTAGAAGTCTTTCACTATCTTTGGAACTTCGTCTCTACTACGCATAGGATTTACCCATGTATAGCGAGAGYAATCATCGATCAATGTGATAAAGTACTTATATCCGCCCTTAGAGATTACATTGGTATAGGCCCCCATACATCAGAATACACAACATGAAAAGGAACATTTGATCTTTTATTACTTGAGTGAAAAGTTGTTCTACATTGTTTGCT